AGAATGATTACTCCCAACAATATCTTATTTGGAAAAGTTGTCTATTGAAGTAATAAAAATAGCTAGGCTGCATTTTAATATTTTTTCAATGCAAGTACATGGATGATGTTGAGTGCAACTCGCCTATAATGAAAATAATGAAAAATCAAATTAGTGATAGAAAGAGATATGGTCTAGTGATGGTACAGAACTAACTAATAATCATCAATTTTACTCTCATTAGATTTAGATAATTTCTATTTTTTTCTACTTATGGAAGCTAACATAGCACCTAGAGCTAAAGTTACCTGCTGTTACACTTTTCCGGTGAGTCCAGCACCCATGTGTTAAGAATTTAACGTCTGGTGGCAGATTTGATGTCTCTCTTAATTGCCTTGTAATTTTATACGATACATGTACAACAGACGATATGGTCAGACAGACCGCATTCCAGTCATCATTAGGTCAACATCAAATGACCAAGTTCAATACTTTATCCTGTGTGAAGGTTGCCTATATGAAGAATGCTCATCTGCAATAGATACAGTGGAACTACTCTGCAGTTATTGGGTGTTCCACATGAGGTACCCTTACCTGCTATCAGCAGTTTTTAAATTTTTTCAAGTTTTAATAATGGGGTTAGGCTCGGAAAAGGAACTGCATTTTTCTGCCTCAAAATTTGCAGCAACCATTAAGTCTTACCAATGATTAAACTGAAAAACAATTTCATTATTATTATTATTTACTATTAAATTTATTATTGTCATGATTTTGATGATTTATTATAGTACTTTCTTTCCCTCTCTCTGTAGTTATCATTATTACTATTACTATAAATCTAATGTACATATTTAATGTACTTTATTATTATTATCATTATTATAAATCTACATGTCACAGCATCTTAATTATTATTATTGTTATTTTCATTTACACGTTAACTATTATCATCCTTGAAATATTAATGATACGTAACTAGTGAACTTTAAGGTGGCAATCTTGATTGGCTCAAATTTTCTAAATAAATAAATATTATCTAGTACATGTATATAGGCATGAGAGTAAATTTTAAAGTAAAGATGGCTTTGGAGATAGTGATGCCTGCAATTAGTTATTTATTTCCTGCTATCTGTGTCATCAACAGAGATTTAATTTCATTTTTGCATTAATAGTATACCCAGCTAAAATAAAAATGTATGCTGGATATATTTTTCTTTCATATATATATAAACTGTGCCAATTATATTGTACCTATATGTCACATACATATTTATCAGACATATATCATAATTATGAGATCATCCTTTGATGTGGTCAGGTTTATATTTTTGTATATATACCTGCCATTTAGAAATGCTGTCATCTTTATGAAATATATCTTATATAACATACTAAAATCGGTCTATATACAAAAGATATAGACCTGTTTAGTATGATATATAATACACATATGCCATGAATTTAGTTATGCATATTTTGCATGTATTTTGGTATGGTGAAATTAGTACCAAGGCAACATATATGCTGTGATTCACAGCACCTCCTTATAACTGATTAAATAACATCATATTTGCAAAAATAGACCCTGAACTGGACGATATTCTTCAAAAGCAGCTGGACAAAATATCAGAATGCTTGTATGATCGAAAAGTACCCACACTTATAAGCATTATTAATGTACATTTCTTTTTATATAGAGAATCTGACTACCGGTATATCAAAAGATACTCTACAATTGGTCAAAGCAGAAATGGTCACAGGCAGCCTACCATTCAAATATCACAAAATATGACTGTTGACTATAAAACATTTGCTGAAATTGTATCACAAAAACTGAGTTATATAGCACAAAAATAATAATGATTTTGTATAATACATAATTGGGTTTTATTAATGTTTAAAATAGAGTTTAAATTTAGCACTTAAATTATTCTTTTGACCACATACAAACAAACATGCCCTGTAATCTCGTAGGCTGAGCCCAACCAAGACAATCCAGTTGGCAATTTAGTGTTACTTTTTTAAATTTAGTACACCTTAAAAATTAATCAGACACAAAATTCTTGGGATAATTTACAAAGAAAAGTCCACTGTCTATGTCAAAATAAATACACTTTTCATAGACTTGATGCCGTGAAATGTTTAGTCTGATCTGATTATGGTAACTGCAAAATAAAATTACATTTTAATCATTATGACTTTACAATGTGTATACTTACTCGATTAAATGAAATTGAATATTGTGCGGCGATAACAAAGAATAATGCTCAAGTACTATTACTGTAAATGAATTCTCATCTCTAAACTCATCAATTAATCCAAACTTCATTTCATCGTCATCAATGAAGGTAATGGCAAAATCAGACTTTCTTTTTGACCTACATACATGCAAATAAACATCACTTTGATACAAACAATGCAAATACTTAATTTACCCAAAAAAGTCACTTCATATTCCTTAAGCCTACTATTTTTAGCATCTACTAAATTTAGCTATATTAGCGAGAGAACTTTAAATTGCTAAATTAAATAGACGCCAAAATAAGTATTATTCTTTATAATGGCTATTTTTTATAGTTAATTTAGTTAAAAACGCTAAAATTAGTAATGCTAAACATGACTTTTGCTGATTTCACTAAAATTAGTAGATGCAAATAATAGTAGGCTTAAGGTAATTAAAAGGTTATTGGCTGGGTGAGTGAAATTAGCTTAGTGGCACAAAAAGTAAAAATTCCAGCTATGATATGTAATTAAGAATGGTCACCTTGAATAATGTCTTGTAGTAATTCTTCCTATTACCTTGATATAACAAATTTTTTTGCTCTCATTATATCTGTGAATGAAAAATGCATAACTTGTAGCATCATTATGCATTCTAGTATGATAGGAATAGCCATGGAACTTGTCACATTAGTGGGATAT